TTAGGTCCTCAAGTCCTATATTCTAGAGGTACCTTTAGGTCCTCAAGCCTTATATTCTAGAGGTGCCCTTGGGTCGACGAGTCCTTGTGTTGGGATTACGCTAGCGCCCTCAAGTTTGAGTATTGAGCGCTACCGTTATATCGCAAAGTCTCACTATATACGGAAACCATTAGGTTCTCGAGACCTACTTCTTTAGGCGCACCCTCCGACCACCGACTAATAGTGTATGGGTACCCTTAGGTCGCAATGTCCGGCCGGTAAAGCAGGAGTGTTTCGTTCACAAGCAATACTAGAAGGGTAATCTTATGCCGACATATTCTAGTATTCGTTGTAACCATGCATCCTCAAATCATCTTATTCGACGCACTTCTCCACCCAAGCGTGCTATTCTTGAGTATCCTTTGCTCCTTAAAAACCGTTTGTAGTACGAGGTGAAAACTCGAATCCTCCTCAACCACACAGAGAGAGAATGAACTACTCGTCAGGCGTACTTTATCTCCGTGGAATACAACTCGAAGCCCTGAACAAATCCATTATAGAAGAAAGCGGGGTGAAAATTTTGGAGACCACCCCAAACATCACTTGTCATTGTCACGACAGCGTCAACCAACACTCTTCCTGAAATCTTATTTATCCAACTTCCAACAACTAGATTTGAAGATGCGTTCCCTTAACTATCTGTCTGGAGAACCACTAGTCATGTTCGAGCCAACCCTAGGGCTGCCGAGGATGCTCTGTCGATTCATGGGTATATGAGTAGGTCACGCTCCTTTTTTTTCGGATGAAATGGAATCTCACAATCTCATTGGTTCAAAAATTCATCAATGATATATCGGCAGCCCTTTCTTTCTTATTACTCGAACAGCCACTAGTCAGCTTCAGGTGAATCCTAGGGCGATCGAGGACGCTCTGTCGATTGATGGGTATATGTGTAGGTCTCGACTCTTTCTCCGCCGATGAAATAGAATCTCACAATCTGATGGCTCCAAAAATCAACCCATGAGATTTCAGAAGCCCATTGCTTGTTGCTCGAAGAACGACTCGTGCGGTCCAGGCGAACCCTATGGCTATCAACGATGCTCTATCGATTGATGGAAATGTGTGTGGGTGTCGGTCGTTTCTCTTCCAATAACATCGCATCTTCCAATATAATTGGTCCCAAAATCAACCAATCAGATTTCGGAAAGCCTTTTCTTATTGCTCCAACAACAAGTAGTCATCTCGAACCAACCCTGCAGTTATCGACAATGCTCTATAGGATGACGGTATACGTATGCATCTTTACGCGTTTAATCAACGATACCATATTCCAACGGATTGGTCGCTTATCGATGCAAAAGATTTATTCTTGTTTTTTTTTCAATTTCTTCCATAATCATCGGTGTGACAGGATTCAGAACGCCAGGGTATCCTTTCTGGCCATTGTTGATGACATAATCCTACTTCTGTAGTAGCGCTTCACGATCTCAGGGTATCTTGTTATCATGGAAGTTGAAAAACCAAGGTTACCCTGTAGAACACCACTTTACCACCTATGGGTATCACTGTATAATCGAGTTCTAGCTCATATCGAAACCTCTGCAACATGCAGGCTCACGATCGATCACTGTCCCTCTATAGTAGAACTTGATGACCTCGAAGTACCAATCGATAATAGGACTTGAACATCTTGCAGTATCCCATCATAATACCAGTTGAGGACCTCGAGATATCCAAATATAATAGGACTTGAGCACCTCGAGCTACCACTCTATAATGGGAGTTGAGCACCTTGAGGTACCCCACTGTGATAGAACTTTAGAACCTATGCTTATCCGTAGAGGGTAGCCCTTGAGGGCCGATGGGTACCCCTATAGGGTAGCCGTTGAAGACCTATAGGTACCCCTATAAGACAGCCCTTGAGGACCTATGGGTACCTCTATAGTGTAGTCCTTGAATACCTATGGGTACCCCTATAGGGTAGAACTTGAGGACCTATGAGAACCCCTATAGAGTAGTCGTTGAGGACCTAAGGGTACCCCTATAAGGTACCGCTTGAGGACCTAGGGTACCCCTATAGGATAACCGTTGAGGACCTATGGGTACCTCTATAGTGTAGCCCTTGATGACCTATGGCACCCCTTGAGGACCGATGGGTACCCCTAAAGGGTAGCCATTGGGGACCTATGGGTACCCCGATAAGGTAGCCCTTGAGGACCTGTGGCTGCCCTACAAATATTTGGGTTCGTTCGGATGAACTTGACCTGAGTTTGTCGCTTTGTAGTCGTATTTTATTGCAATATTTTGTCCATGTGAAGTGAACCACATTCTTTTGGCTAGCGTGTTTGGATCACTTCGAATGACCGAAGACGATTGTGAAAGATAGATAAAAGGAAATAAACCGCTTTTAGCAACAAACAAGTTATTGTGTGGCCAATTTTATACATGTTCGTGGCCAACAAGTGAAATGGGGATAAGGCTCATTCCACGAAGTAAGAGATGAAGAAATACGTGTACCACTCGAATATAAGAGATGAGAACTCAAGGGTACTTCCCTCATAAAGGATTTGAAGACTTAAGAGTACCTCTAGAATATAGGAGATGAGGACCCAAGGGTACCTCTGGAATATAGGACTTGACGACCTATAGACATCTCTGCAATATAGAACTTGAGGACCTACAGGTACCTCTGGAATATTGGACTTGAGGACCTAAAGGTACCTCTGAAGTATAGGACTTAAGGACCTAAAGATACCTCTGGAATATAGGACATGAGGACCTAAAGGTACCTCTGGAGTATAGGAGTT